ATGCCGACAACAGCTTTTCCCCCAGGTTCATGCAGCTTGGTAACTTCACCGGGATTCCAGGCCTTGTGGTCCCCATTGGATATTCTACTGCTGGGCTTCCTATCAGCTTCCAGGTGAGTATTGGCTCTTTGTGAATGCTGGGTCACAAAATCCACAGCTGGCTTTGTCCTGAACCACTATAACCAGGTTCCTGCTGTTCCACACAGCACACTTAAGAAGTTGACAGGTTCTGGTAATAAAGCTTTAACTTGTGAGTGAAGAGACTTGCTTCAGAGTGAATGACAGAGGGACTCTTCAGGTATCTGGGAGATTGATTTCTCTGCCTTCCTGTCTACTTGCATCAGTACCCACTATTTGTCACTACTCTTTCTTCTCTTTTCCTTATTTCTCAGTTCTCTAGCTTTCCTTCCTCCTTCTTCTCCCTCTTGAAATGGGTCTCATGTAAATGAAAGGTCCACGTCTTCTAATTACAAGCCACACAGTTTCCTTTATATCAAATGCAATGAAGCTATACTTACTGTGGTAAAAGGGAGAAGCATGTGTCCTTTTGGTGCTGTTGAGGGGGGAAAAAATTTAGTTATGCTTTGCGGGGCTTTCAAGAGCATCTGTGTGTGATGATGCTACTTTTTTCCCCTTCTCCTTTCTCTCTCTGCCTTTCTCATCTTCTCCCAGGTCATGGCAAAATGGTGGGATGAAGCTGTGCTTCTGAGGATTGGCCTGAAGCTAGAGCAGTTTCGTTACCAGACAAAAAAACCATCCATTTATTATGACATCCTTGCATGACGGAGTGACCAAGACGGGGAATATGTTGTCTTTTTTTTTTTTTCCCTAGTCTGACCTGACCAAGTACTAGAGTGGACTTGTTTTCAATGTTCATCTGAATAAGGCTTAATCGCAGGCCCACTTGAGGAATGGGGAGGAACACTGATCTAAGAGGCACTGATGCTGAGCAGACATCATTTCTGCTCCCTGTTTGTTGTTGGATGGTCCAGTTTATACTAGTTCTCACCAAAAGGGGAAGCTGCAACTATCTTCTGCAACTTCTTTCCATGTCGGGGTCCTGTGTAAAGACAGAAGACAACTGCATCTACGGGACTGCATGCGGGCAGTTCATACTACTGTGCACGGAAAGGTACAATCCCTAGACCTTAAATATTCTCACAGAACTCCTCCAGCTCCAGTATATGACAAAGGTACTGCTTTGAGGGGGAGGCAGCTTCCCTTAAGAAATAACACATAGCTCCCTTGACATGAGGAGGATCTTAACACACCTGGAATTAGGTAGCCCCTTAGTCCCTCAGAGCAAAATAGAAGGCCTATAGCTATGGAACTGTTGCTGTGCTTCTGTTCCTTATGCTGCAAACAGTGTAAGGTCAGTCTAACCGCTGCACAAAGTATGGGTGTGCTCACTGCATGAGCAGTCTTACCTACCTTCAGCCTTAAAAGCAAGGGGAGGAAAAAGCAGAGCACGAACCCTCATCAACTCTGTCACTGAAGGGCCTGGTTCAGGCTTTCTTTTGCGCTGTTGGTAAACATCTCTATTTCCCAAGCTAAGCTTTGGAGAGCCTCTTTTCTCCCACTGGTTGCTTAAACATAAGCCTACTATCATTTTGGTGTCCAAATAGAAGCAGCTACCTGTAGTAATGCTGGGAAATACCACTTACGGAAGGGGGTGCACACCAGCTATTATAAACAAATGAAATTCATGTGGTACTGAAAGTAGGAAACACTACTGACCTATTCCAAGGGTTGAAGCTGGGGGCAAGAAAGGTATTGCACATAGCCATGCACAACAAAGAGCCTGCTCTACATAAGCAGCCAACCCCAACTTACCCAAAATGTACTTTCTGAAGTAATCAAGGTAGAATTAAGACATGGATTAAAGATAAGGATATGCTACATAAAGCATGACATCACAGGAGGAAGTGCTAGAGACTATACTCATACAAGAAGAGGCTCTCAGTGAAACACAGTACTGTTGCTTAAAGTACTTGTGTTCTGCCAGCACCACAAGACCCACATCTAAGATAAGGCCTAGGAGTAACCACAGCTGAGCATTTAGGTTTGTTTCAAAGTAGCTTGGGGTTAATACTCGGAGGCACCTCCAAGTATCCTGGGCTTATAATCAGGCTGCTGGAGAAGCTGCCCTACAGCCAGAAGCAGAGCAGATCACCATATTCTTAGTTAGCTTGGAAGGAAAGAAGGAACAGAAAGTAGTTGCAGTTTCTCCCAAACTCGGTACGGTTTGTTTTTGTGTTGGGTTTTTTTCCTCATACATATCTGCTCTTTAAACAGAGACAGCACTTTACTAATGGCTACAGTTAAATCAGATGGCATCTGAATGGAAGAACATTGCATTGCCAGCTCCTCCTTAATTACCTGAGTTAAAGCATCAACTCCTACCATCAGCTCTCACCAGCATCCACAGTTAAATTAATTATATGGTTGATAATGTCTTTTATCTTAATTCTTCTACATGATACTGCCACAACTATTTTTCCTTACTAGATTCTAGTATAGTTCAGCTTTATGAAGAACAGCTTAAAAGCAAAGTATTTCCTCTATTATTAATGGTAAGTTACTAAACACTACCAACATACCTTAGAGTGAAACACTGCTGAAATGCATTGTATAGCAATAAGGGAGTTGATAAATGTTTGACAAGAATAAATTTCTGCCAGGAACATTACTGCTTGAAGGAAATGGCTGAATATTCCCTAATTTAATGCTATTATTATTCAAGGGATTAGAGATGGATGTTTAAAATATTCAATAACCATCCTGCTAGATGAAGCTATTTATTTCAAATCCCTTCCTAAATGATACACTACCCTAAAATTATAATTTCAACATTTAGTTCATTCTCTGGGCAGAGCGAGGGAGCCGAGGTAGTTAGAAGAGATAGGAGCTAAAGTAAAGAGTTTGATTTTTTTTTTTTTTTTTTTTTTTAAAAATACTTGCATCCTGCTAACAGTGGGAAGAAGAAAGAACTGAGAGCTTTTACTGACTGACAGTCTGCCTTTCTGCACACTGCTTCCTCCCTTTCCCTAAACTGGTATCGCATCAGTGCACATTTCTAGTGCAAGACTTCTGTGGTACTGAGGTTACTAAGATAAACTTTACTCATTCTGGTGAAAGGCCCCCCCCATGTTCCCTTTCTTCCCCTGCTGTTAGCTTATCCAAGTTCTACAGCAGACCAGTTCCTACTTAACAGCAGTTCTATCCCCACAGTAGGCAATAGCAAGGCAATTGTGTGAGCAAAGCAGACACAGTGACCACACACACAATCGTGTTGCTTCACATAGATATATGTATGGGTATAGATATACGGTATATACACATCGATTTTTTTTTTATATATATAAAATAACACCTTGTTTATAAAGCGACATTTAATTGCCACTGGTTCCCTTCCCACCCCACAGAAACAATAGTATACAAAATATAAAATATTTTAAATATTTATAAACACTGCAAGAAAAAAAATAGAACTGTATGAAAATATTTTTTTTTTCTGAGGTTCCCTCCCTGACCTGTGGGAAGGGGAAGAGAAGGGGTACACATTTGGCCGGCCTAGTGTGCCTTGAGTCCATAGTTGTTAAGTGGATAGGAGTATGCCCTGCCTAATACTATCCGGTCCCGGAGGAGCTTAAATAAGACATAATAATTGCAGAAAAGGATGAGGGCCATGGAGAGGGTATGGTTCCACTTCTCTGAGCGCAGCAATGAGTAGAGCTGGTAGCAGACCACGCTGCCTTCGATGAGAATCAGCAGGTTGAGCAGCCGTAACGGACGGTGAAACAGGAACTGCAGGGAAACAGGTAAGAAGGACAGATTTCTGTAATTTGTTGCGGTGTTAGAGTGGGATGGGGTATGCATATAATGCTGTCGGGCGCCAAATGAGCTAGCGACCACTGTGCTGGGCAGAAGAAGTGTTTGTACGCTAGCTGCTAGCTAGAGCTACTAGCTACTGTACACTGCTGGCCACTACTTAGGGAAAGCGGCGTAAGAAACAAGGCATGCAGAAGCATCATTTTGCTTCAGAAGGGGAAGACAGGTGAAATAACCTGTTGGGCAGCTGACGTACTTTCCCATTTTGCTGGAAGATGTTAACTAGAACCCTCTTAAGAATATTCCGCTGCCTGATGGGAGAACTGCATCACCATGATGAGAAAGCACCGACAAGGCAGCTGTGGCTTCCATCTTTGCCCAGAGATCACTGTAGTACAGCAATGGGAAAGCCCCTCCGCTGCAAACCAGTATTTGTTTAGCAGCAACCGGCTGTTGCAGAGCACTGAACTGCGTACCAAAAGCCGCTCTGCTGCAGCTAGGTTTGAGCCTCCCCTCCCTCCCACACCCGTAACACATCAAGGAAGAGAAGAGGTACTTGCATAAAAGCGGGCATGGGACACATCTGAAGGCACTGCTACGTTGTAAGGCCCAACTGCTTTGTACAGGCATCGGCTACGTCGCACCAGAACTCCTTGTGGCCATATTGTGTTTTCTGACCAGCTGTGGGGAAAGAATGACAGAACGTTGGCCTTTGAGGGAAAGCCAGCAGGAGGATGGTCCCAACTCCCTGAATGTGGGTTCACAGGCATGGACTACATCTTGAGAAATACCACAGCCTCTGCAACAAGGACATGTCCCAGCTCCCATCATAAAAGCACAGGGAGGTGAAGGACTCGGATATGAGTAATGCGAGAAATGGCTCCCAGTGCAAGAACCTATCCCACTGGTGACGCCCCACTGGAGGGGGCCACCCTCTGCCCCTGCACAAACTATTTCTTCAGTGGCCAAGTGTTATTTTTCTGGGAAGGAACCAGCAGTGACCAGAGGAGCTCAGGCAGCTCTCCTGAGCAGATGTTTGTGTTTCTAGGAAACAGACCAGCAGCTCTGACCCCTAGCACTGTGGTGAATGGGGAAGCTTCCTCAGTAGATAAGCACTGCTGATACTTCCTTATCTACTAGAATGTCTTCTTGGCCCCTTGCTGGGCATGCCAACCCTTCCCCATCCCCACACTCACATATGCTGTGGAGCATTGCTGTAGGAACCATGTTCTAGTTTCTGCCACTTGCCAAGGTGGGCAGCTGATCTGTGGAGCAGGTCACAGTACTTGGGAGGCAGCAGCTGAGTGGTGAGCATGACAAAGGCATTGATCCACACCATGATGAGGTGCTCACAGGACCAGCGCATATCGTAGTACTGGGTGCTCTGCAAAGAGACCAGGCAAGAACTTGGCACCACCATCACAAAACAGAGGAGGGAATGACAAGGGACATACTGCGTGTGCATCCAGCAGACCCACACCACACATTACAGGCATGCGCTTTTGGACTGGTGGTTTCGGAGGCCTACAACTTGGGAAACACTCAAGACTCCCTTCTCCTTGACCTGAAGGAGAAAGGGCAGAGGGATGATGCTGCAGCTGGTGCATCTCCTCCTCCAGCAGCAGATAACAAGAGGGTTTGCTTGCCACAGAATTGCCCCAGGAGCACCAATGGCACCAAGACTGCTACATGGATTGTGGAGCCTTGCCCAGTTCACTACACCAACCAGAGCTCGTTCAAGTTAGAAGGAAAAAAAAAAAAAAGACATTAAAAAAATACAACCCCCACATTGACAAGAGGTTCTTTGATTTAGCTTGCCAAGCATCCTAGTTGTCTCTGTTTTCTAACAGGCCGAACACCAAAGCCTCTGATCCAAGCACTCAAAAGCCAGGATGTTGGATCTGAGACAGGTAACAACAGGTTCCCTTTTCTAGGAAGAACACAGCTATCCATCTGCCTAGGACAGGGGGTGGGAGAAGGGGAGTTAGTAAGTGGGGTGATGGGACTAGAGGTGCATCACATTTATGGCAATACCTATCCGCCAACCAGGAGCAGTACTAGTGCACTCCGGATGCAGCCATGCTCCGCTATCCAGGCTGCCAAAGGGGAGACAGAGAAAAGGGGAATTAACCAGGAATCTGGCCTGGCAGCAATTCACACAACATTCAGAAGGAAACGGCGGGCAGGGGCACAGAGAGAGCCAGACAAGAGCTACCTTCACAAAACACAGTGGCAGGGAAGCCACACGGAATGCCACGTAGTAGGCACTGAAGAGAGAGTTGAAGAGAACTTCCTTAATCCTGCGGTTGAAATCTGCTTTTAGGCACTCCACTTCATTGCGGATGAGATCTGGGGAGAGGGGGCAGCTGTGGGTGGGGATAGATGTAGGATTATTGAACTGTTCTCTCAGGGATTCCCACAGAAGCGAGAGGAAATCTTTGGGTTTGACCAGGCTGCTGACAGCTGAAGACCCATCGTCCACCATCTGGTCCTGTACCAAGTAACCACAGTCCGCAGGTAAGGGCTGTGCTCTGCTGTCCTGGTGGAAGCAGCACAGAGGAACATAGACACCAAATCTGGAGGGAAAGAAAGAAAGAAAAAAAAGGGCTGAAATGACAGCCATCCCAAGAGGAAGCAGGGGGCACCTTCTCAACAGATGTTGGCCTTATGAAAGGGACACCACACAGGAAGCCTCACTCTAGAAGTTAGTGGCCAACTCTTCTCCCCATAAAAGGCTAGAGGCTGCAGCTTCCACAACTGTGCCGAGAAGCTTCTTTAAATCCTCTTTGTGGAACCAATGGCTCAGTCTTCAGCTGCAGTAAAGGCTGCTCATGCAAACAGCACACTGAGGCACTTGGCTTCATCAGCTCTGTGCCACCCCCTTGAATCATCCCCTGGGCATTCCTAGTTAGAATCATAGAATAGTTTGGGTTGGAAAGGACCTTTAAAGGTCATCTAGTCCAACCTCTCTGCAATGAGGGGGACATCTTCAACTAGATCAGGTTGCTCAGAGCCCCGTCCAACCTGACCTGGAATGTTTCCAGGGATACTTCCCCTTTAATCATAAGATGAGGAGACAGATTACAGACAACATCTCTGCTTCCTGTGGTGGCTCGTGCCACCCTCAAGCAGCTATGCTCCCTCTGCCTTGAAGGTACAAGGTGGTGTCACTCACGGGTAGCCCAGGAAGAGAAGGTTGAGAACAGAATGGCTGCGGAAAAGGTTGACCAAAGTCCAGCAGAGCACCCATCCACAAAGGGTGAGCAGCACCAGGCGCACCATGTAGTGAATCACTGATGTCGCACCCACCTGAGAGGCCTGCAAATGCAGAAGAAACACTCAATAGCCCTGTAACACTAGTGCTAGAACATGAACCTGGGAGTGCCTGTGGAGGAGGAGCAGGTAGAGGGGTGCCAGGAGGCACTGTAAGAGGAATGGCTTCCCTCTTCTTCCCAGAAGTAGGAGACTGACTCTCTTACGAAGGTGAACACCTTTGATTTTATTCATGTTTGGTAGAATCCAAAAGATTCAAATACGTACAAGTTGTAGGGCATGACTAAAATAGGACCTTTTAAAAATCAGAGCTGTAAAGAACAAAATATTTTTGCTCAAGACCCTTATTGCTCTGATATCCTGTCCAGGATAGCCTGAAACACATTTCCTCTTGCTCTTTCCTTTAGACGGATCAGGTCTCAGCATTCATGTTCCTAAAGAACTTCAATGTCACAGTTCTCAGCTGAGGGAAGAGAAGACGGCATACCTTGGCAATCCCAAAACTAAATTTCCACCACTCATCTCTACTGGCTGTATAGGCTGCAGTCTAGTGAGGAGGAACCACCTTCAAAAGGACAGCAAAGCAGCTTGTTCCATTCTCCAGAGGGGAGAAGGCAAACCGAACTACAAAAAGATTCTTAGGGATTAGAGCCAACAGATGGGATGTGCAAGAACTTGCATGGAAGGTTTCAATGCAGAAATTTCAATCTATGGGAGGTTTTACAGAGGATGGGAACATAAATGAAATGGTGAGAATCAGAGATGAAAAGAGAACTTCTGAGATGCCATCTTCTCCTCAGCAGGACATAACTCTTCCTTTTTATTATTATTATTAATTTATTGCTTAGTCTGGAGTTGTATTAACAGTTTCAGTGGACAGAACTTCCACTTTTCTCAAAATGACCTTTCTCAAACATATATTTGGCCCGGTTCTGCTCTCACAAACACAGGGAGGGTCTCAAAATCTGAGGTGACACGACCAGAACCTCAGAGTGACTAAATAATCAGTACTGGAAAGGCAGTTCTACCAGCTATTCTTATTTTATTTTAGTGTACTCGGACATCCTCCTCCTGACCTTTCCCCTCTAATCTTCTGTTCATTCTTCCAGTCTTGGCTAACCTCCCTATTCGTCTTTCTGCTACCTGACATGCAATCCTCTCAGCCACTTCTCTGGCAGGAGATAGTGAGGTACTGTATTGCACCTGCAAGGATACAGAAGCAAGTGGGACAATTTCATCTCCCCCTAGCTGCAGAAGCAACAGAGGTACCCAATACTGTAGGACATGAATGGGCTCAAGGCAGAAGGGCACCCAGAAAATCTTAGTCCTTCACACCCAGACTTCTTCTAGGGGAAGAACCCCTCCAGCTATCCAACTCACAGAACTTTCTCAGGCCATAGATGGTCACACTCTCCCATCAGTACTACAGGCAGGAGAGAGAACAGTGGGAATGTTACCTCAGAGATGAGGGCCCACACCAGCCTCCGCGCCAGCATCACTGTGATGAACGCCGCCAGGTGGTAGTCAATGAGGTGAAAATTCTGAAGGAGGAAAAAGAAAAGGTCTTCACCAGGGGAAGGGACTCTGAAACCACCCACTGGGGTGGGACTGGAACGCTGGTTGCTGGGAGCATTCGGACATCATGTAAAGCATTCCTCAAGTCTATTAGGGATGAGGAGAAGGGAGTAACACAGGGATGTCTCCAGAAGATCTTCCCCACATGGAGGCTCCTTCCCCTGGAGAGATTTCCACTGAAAACAAACCAAAACAAATCCACAAGCCACCCTCCAGGCAGGTATTGTCAGGGTCAAAGGGAGATATAGGACCAGGATCCTACTGTGAAGAACGGGCTTGCAAGTTCTCCTGGGAAAAGCTACTGAGCAACCAGAGCAAGGGCAGCCAAACTGGAGTCCAGAGTCTTGCACACCAGCTCACTTGGTCTCAGAAATGGGCTGTTAATGACTAGTGCTCCCCGATAATCAAATTGATCTGAGAAATGGCATCTTCATGGGCCACAGATCTGTATTAGAAGTTAATGTTGATTCTGGCTGTATCAAGTTAGATATAGCTTTTGGACCCCTTACAATTTTTCAGTGAAGCCATCAAATGTGTTCTGGCTAGAATGGTTAGCAGACTCCAAATCCTGCTGTCTGGGACCTCAGGGACATTTTGGGCAAACAAGAATGCTTGACTTCTAATGGTAACATAGATATGACCATTAAATCCTTTCAGGTAGGGAGCCTGAGCCAGAATGCTTTTTTTTCAACACAAGCCATGCCCAAGCATGGCATAGCTGAACGTCAAACGAACAGCGGGTAACAGGAACACCAGCACCACTTGTTGGTATAGTTAACTAAGGAAGCACCCCATGCTGCCAAGCGGTAAGGACACAATATAAACTGTGTCCTTGTCCGCTTCGGAGGCGTGCTTCATTCAGGTGAGGTTTGCCGACTCAGGCAGGTCATTGCCACGTTATGCAGCTTATTGGGCCAGGAAGAAGGCTGGAACCAAGGAGACTGGAAGGTTTACATAAGCTGAGGATCTGACCCCCTCCCCAACTACTCTGCTGCTGACCTGCTGCAAGATCCTAATGAAAACTTACATCATCTCACTTCTCCCAGGCTCTGTTGTTTCCACTCGGAAGGGGGACCCACAGCAGGAGAGAGCAGGCTCCTGGAGTCTCAGCTCTATTTCAAACCCTAGGGGCTAGCTAGGCCATGCAAGTATCTGCAAGGAATTTCCACTGAAGGAGTCCTGCTGGCACCTCTCACATACCATGTGTTTTCTCCCCTGTAAAATGGGGGATGACATGGCCCTGGCTGATGGGGGTGCATGTGAACTCCCCTTCACCCTCTTAATGTCAAACGCTTGGTGACTGACTGAAGAAACATGAAAAGAAGCTGTGTAATGAAAAAGCACAAGTGATGGCATTTGCTGGGGAACTGTATTCGGTTTGCATGGCAAGGTTTTGGTAGCGGTGGGGGTTGCAGAGGTGGCTTCTCCAAGAAGCTGCTAGAAGCTTTCCCTGTGTCTGACAGAGTCAGCGCCAGCCGGCTCCAAGACAGACCCACCGGTGGCCAAGGATGAGCCCATTGGCAAAGGTGGTAGTGCCTCTGTGATAACATATTTAAAAGGGGAAAAAAACCAGCACGCAGCATTTGCAGCTGGAGAGAGGAGTGAGAATATGTGAAAATAGCTCTGCAGGCACCAAGGTCAGTGAGGAAGGAAGGGGAGGAGGTGCTCCAGGTGCTGGAGCCAACATTCCCCTGCAGCCCGTGGTGAAGACCATGGCGAGGACCACAGTGAGGGCAGGCTGTCCCCCTGCAGCCCATGGAGCTCCACGGTGGAGCAGATCTCCACCTGCAGCCTGTGGAGGACCCCATGCCAGAGCAGGTAGATGCCTGAAGGAGACTGTGACCCCATGGGAGGCCTACACTGGAGCAGGCACCTGGCAGGACCTGTGGACCCGTGGAGAAAGGAGCCCAGGCTGGAGCAGGTTTGCCAGTAGGACTTGTGACCCCACGGAGGACCCATGCTGGAATAGTCTGTTCCTGAAGGATGGCACCCCGTGGAAGGGACCTAGGCTGGAGCAATTCGTGAAGAACTGCAGCCCGTGGGAAGGACTCACGTTGGAGAATTTCATGGAGAGCTCTCATGGAAGGGACCCCACACTGGAGCAGGGGAAGAGTGTGAGTCCTTCCCTTGAGGAGGAAGGAGAGGCAGAGACAATGTGTGATGAACTGACCACAACCCCCATTCACTGTCCCCCTGCGCCACTCAGGGGGGAGGTGGTAGAGAAATCAGGAGCAAAGTTGAGCCCAGGAAGAAGGGACAGGTGGGGGGAAGGTGTTTGAAGATTTGGTTTTAGTTCTCATTATCCTACCCTGATTTTGGTTGGAAATAAATTAAACTAATTTTCCCCAAGTTGAGTCTGTTTTGCCTGTCATGGTAATTGCTGACTGATGTCTCCCTGTCCTTATCTTGACCCAAAAACTTCACATTATATTTTTCTCTCCCCTGTCCAGCTGAGGAGGAAGAGTGATAGAGTGGCTTTGGTGGGCACCTCTAGCCAAGGCCAACCCACCACAGGAACTCACCAGTGAGGTGCAGGAAGCAGGGTGATTATATGGGTACCACCAGACAGTCTTGTAGATGTTGATGTACTGAATGAAGAGGGCTACTAGTAGGTAGATGAAGAACAGGAATTCAAAGAGAAGGCTCCCATCCAATGGCAGTTCAGGGATCCGGCAGTGACGTACAGGCTCTGGAGTAATCAGCGCTGTGATCGGAGGTGCAGAGAGGCTGATGGCACTACCATTCCTGAAGCAGACATATATCACTCACTTGGTAAACATTCTACATCATCTCTACCATCTTCCAGGACAGGGAGTGCTTGGGCTTGTTAATTTGGGACTGGGCATTGCTAGAGGAGATATGGCAGCACTCTTGCCTTGATATTTCTGGTGCAAGGCTGGTGGTGAGCTTCATCTTCTTCTTAGCTCAGATAAAACCCTTATCCAGCATTTTCTCTAAACAACAGATTAGTCTGCCAGAGGTGCTGTGACATGCCCAGCAATATTTCAGTAAACTTGTAGATGGAGGAACAGAGGTACAGAGTAAGGAAGCAACTCCAAGCCAAAATCATTGAGGACTCTGTGCCAGACCGAGTGCTTAATGTTGGCTCCTTCCACCCATCACTAGGGCATTACAGTAGCACCCAGCCTCCTTCACCAGTATTGCAAAGTGCCCATCGTCTTTCTGCTCACAGTTCCTCTCTTCAAAAGAGAGGTAACTGAAAATGCAATGGAGGAATTCAGCCACTTCCTAGAGGGTGACCTCTCAACTGTTCTCACACTTCCTTCTTCCCTAGCTTCAGAGGAAGCTAGGACAACTAAAAGCTCTGGCAGACTAAACTGATGGAGGAAGTTCAAACATAAACTACGCTGTGTCTGAATCAAACGATGATAAGCAAGTGCCCCCAGGACCTTGGGGCACTGACTCCATGGTCTCACAGTCCCTTATTCCTCAAGAATCTAAGAATGTGCCATCCATCCGCCCAGCCAGAGAAGCCTTTAAAAGCCAAAGCTAAATGGCTTGGATCTCTCTAGTCTGTTAAGGATGAACCTATACCAAGTATATACCTCATACCTTATGAGGTATCAGGGCCTAAACAGGCAGTAAATAGCTTCCCCAGTCCAGTAACTTCAGTATGGAAGGAAGTAACACTGGGTCCTTTTAAGTCTTTGTGCCAAATGTGGAGATCTAAATGTCACCTTGTGTTCCTTTTTCAGCCCCCAACATCCCCAGAAAATGGAGGTGAGCTTTGCCAACTGTGAGAATTAGTTTCATCTGCAGCCAGCAGGGCTAAAACAGAATATAGGCATCCTCCTGCCCTGACTTTCTGTCACGTAGGAGAGGGACTCACAGCTGAGCCCTGACGTGTCACACTAACTCCCTGTGGTATTGCAGGCAAACAAGCAAGAGAGACAAGAACTCATAATCTGCTACGACTCACTGCTCTGGGAAAGACAAACCAAGCACTGTGTGATTTCCACCTCTGGCATTGTGACGACAGTCAGTGGCGATGGGTGGCAGAGACCACTTCCACAATCCTCCCCACATGGCTGATTTTAATGCATGAAGTCAAGAGAAGGGCTACAGAGGGAAGCATGTGCCACAACAGAGCTGGGAAGAGAAGCTGGAAGAAGTTTGTCATGCAGGGCACGTCCCCTCTTGGATGGGCCATCTCCTGATGGCACAGCAAAGGGCTCAAGGTTCCCATCTCCCAGTTCCTTGCTTTAACCACGAAGCTGCACTCCTGCACAGAGTTCAGAGCAGATCAAGGCTGCTAACTTAGCGCTATCCTAGCCACACGTGTCTCAACACCTCTTCCTTCATCCTCACCTGTTTCTCAAACCGGTACCGTTTCCACAGCTCCCACCAACCAGCGTCTGGAGAGAAGGCAAAGCTGAACGGCTTAGCTGCTGCCGGCTGGGTCCCCTCCTTCCACCGGGCATGACCAGGAACCAATACACTTCCAGTGCCTCCAGCAGGCTGTGCCCCGAGACCCAGACAACGATCCCGAAGCCCTCCCAGGTCTGCAAAAGAGACAGAAACATCACTTAAGCTGCGAACTGCTGGTCGCCTAGTTCACACCCCAGCTAAGCGAGTTCATGCAAAAGGAAGCCACTCTCATACAGGGCTCTGTGTGGGACACCCACCACCACCCTAAACCACTGTGCCTAAACCACATTTCAACGGCACCAGATCAGCATCTGCCTGCATACACAGCATGGACACCACTGACACTATGTCTTTAAAAAGCGGCTGCTTAAATTAGCCATCAGCAACTGCTGGCACTTCCCGTCGGCTGGAAAGCGCCACCGAGCATCTCCACTGCTGGGGACTGCACGACTGCGTGTCTCGTTGCAAAAGCAAACCTGGGAAGAGCCTTGTCCCTGTTCTGGTGCACAGAGCCACAAGGGCTTCGCAGGTCCTTTTAACCACCCAACACATCACTTGACAGGCTCTGATGCTGGCAGGTAATTTGGAGCCCCTCTGCCAGAGCTCTGAACTTCTTCATGGTCTCCATAAAGTTAATTGCATGGATCAGCTCCCTTCTGTGCTAAGAAAGCCCGACTGACACGATGGTAGAAAGTCCATTTAAAAGTGGTTAGCAGAGTAGTGCAGCAAAACACACATGTATGCATGTACTTCAAATGCTCATATAGGCAATCACATATCCCAGCCCTCAAAACAAAAAGAAAAAAAAGTAAGCTTGTAAATATTTATTTATTTTAAATTACACATTTAAATCAATCAGTTCCTTAAAATGAACTACTATGAGATACACTGGTCAACTCAGAATATCAGTAACAAAGATGGATTCTCTGCCACAGACTTTATCACTCCCCATATGATTTTGCTTTTATTTCATTGGTCTCCCACATGACACTGCAGGGATTTCGGCAGTCAGGTAAGTTTCTGATGGCTAGCAGACATGAGAGACTGAGGAGTTGAATTGGAGTGTGAATCTGAAAGTCATTCAAAGCGCGCGTGCTGTACAGAATCAAGACACGTGAGCGAGGAGCATCTCACTACAAGGACTCTTGTGTGTCTGCACATCTGGAGACTAATCGTCTGCCCTTTAGGCAAAATATCAGAGCCAGAACTAACCCAGGGTCCAAAAAAGCACTTCCACCTTCTGGGAAACTCTGGATCTAGCTTCGAAATTTACAGATGGAACCTCTCATCTATTTATAATTCAGTTATCACCTCCTTTAAAATCCTGAGAAAATCACAGCTGGCAGAAATGCCAGGAAGTTTGCTCAATGAATCACACCACTGTCACCATGAACACAGCATGCAGGAGAATTATTCTAAAAAACTCCCTTAAAGAATCATCTTTTGTATTAAAATTTCCCATGCTTCATCTCCACTCCAGTAACCAATTCTCAAAATTTCAACAAAAGTCAAGACATTTCAAAAGATTAATGCTTTCCACATGCCCACATGAAGGTCACTTGAAAAAAAACAAAAGTAAACATGAGATCCTGGAGGGGAAGAGAAAAAAAAAAAAAAAGGTTGAGAGAATAAACATTGGACAATTTGGGTTTAGACAAAAATAACGCATTTTGGCAGACTTCAAAACTCTCATTGTAACACAACAGAGAATTGAAGCCTTCCTTACCTTCCTAGTCAATACTTTAAAGCTTTCAGAGAAAGTTCTCTCGGATGTTCTAGTTTTGTTTGGGAATATTTGTATTTCAGGAATTAGAAATAAACAGCAGAGAATTCTCCTGCATGCATAAGATGAATAAGGACAGCAGCAGACCATGCAGAGTTCACTTAAGGCACCTGGACACTTTGCATAAGGAACTAAGGTGAAGGAAAAAAAAGAAGACAAAAATCTCTAAAAGGAGCAACTTTGAAAGCTATTTTAAGTCAAATTAAACTATGACAGGGATTGTGGAAGCTAAAACTATTGGTCTGATTCAACCTTCAGGTTACTTATGATAATGGATGCAATACCCATAAGTTGCTGCTCTAATTGGCAGCATTAACAGTGGAAGGTATTTTATGCTGTATTCAATAATTCATGTAAATAATTTAACGGCTCTCATTAGTATTATCCCATTAGTATGCTTCACATGCTCGCCAATACAGACATTTGGACACTGAGTAATAGCACTTCCACGCTCTGCTTTTGCAAACCAGTAAAATGCAGGTTTCTACCATTAAAAAAGAATGCCTGTGGAAAGGAGCCCTCTCTAATGTCAGCGCACCATATTTTAAATGCACTTGAGTAAGTCCTTTCACAGCAATCCATGAACATATAGACTGGGCAGCTCTTCAAGCCAAGCTTTAAATAACTTTACTTCACTGGAGTCTGATCAAATTAGGTAGGTATCTATTAGAGCAAAATCTGCCTAATAACCATTCCTTTTTTGTTTGCTTTTGTTTTGTAAAACTAGCCACACAAAACTGAAGCTCCCTAGATAAAGTTAAACAAAGCAGTGAGATTACAGATCAGTTTGACTCTAAGTCTGCTTTTTTTTGGCCTTGAACCAATCAACAGCCCTTCTTTTTGAGGAGGGAGACATGGGAAGAAGACTTATAGTCTTCAGTTAATAAACAAAGGCATGATTCTACTGTGAAAAATATGCGAACAAGAAAAAAGTGTCCATGACCCTTGACTCCAACAGATAAGATTCCTGTGTGCATCCAAGTCATATTAAGTATTAATAAAGAGCCTGCAGAGTGAACTAGGAGTCTACCAGGCTCCCTCTTCTGTTTGCAGAATCCCCACCCCATGTAGTTACACATCAATGATCTTATTTTGTCACAGGCATAAAAAACAGGTAATAGAAGATAAAAGCTTTTCCTGACAAGATTCTTTAGTCCATTAGTGTGATTCCACATTGTTCTTCCCAGTTCACCTGTAATTTCTCTCCTAAATGAGTCACATACTTGTAGTCCCTTCATCCTCAGCATCGCCAGAACAGAAACTGCCTGGCTTCCAAGATCTCCTCTCTCAGGCAGATGTGGGCATCATAAAAACACACAAGAAGGATCTGGGGACCAGCAACAGAACAGTGGACAGTGGTCCTGTCCATGCATAGGGAACAGATATGGGTACGGACAGCTCTTGGATCCTAGAGAGGGACCACACTCTTCCTTCAGCACAGAGACAAAACCTTCAGCTGTGACATGCTTATAAGAAGATCCAGAAACATAAGGCACCAGACCATCTAATTTCCAGTTCGTGCTTTTAGGACTACAGAAAGCACTCGGACATTTTATTTCTCTGCACCAACACCCCTCCTCCCCATCAGGTCCCCCAGCTATCCTGATGAGGCAGGATCAAGGCAGGCAAAAACCACAGCTGTGACCAAGGATTTACTGATGAAGAGCTAGGCAGATGAACTAGCCACCAGTTCAGAGGTGAAGCAGCATGCAGCCCCATCCTGCTCCCCAGGGACCATCACTCAGAATCATGTTCCTGCATCAGCAGCTGCCCAAACAGCTCTTACAAGAGGCGAATCAGGAGAGACAGTGACTCATCAGAATGAGAAGTCTGCCTGGTTCCCCATCTCTTTGCTGGAAACGCTACGATGCTCAGCCAGTTATTTTGATAGCATTAACATTTTTTAATTGGAGAAAACACCGAGCCTCCAAACCCCTCAGGAAGCTTGCTGCATGGAGGCGTGAGAACTCTCAAGAGTTTGGAAAACAGTCAAGAGGCTCTCCTTGGCTCCACAAGTCCTACAACCTCAAGATACTCTCAAGAGCTGAAGGGCCACACTTGCAGCAGTGTGGCTTGAGAAGACCACAGGTCTATTGTTGCAACTCTCCACCTTGATCTAAGCATCCTTCTTCCTGCCGAGTAAGCACATGACATCTCGGGGTGAAGCAGCACATTGCCTCTGTGGCCGTTAGCAAGGGAGCTCTGCCTGCCTCCGCCTCCTCCTCGGCCACACAGCAGCTCCCAGCGTTGCCTGGGTTGCTAGCAAGACTTTCCATTCGGGGTGCTCGTGATTTATGGTTACGCAGGCACAGAAACACACCTGCCACTGCGCAGCGCTCCCTCACAGGGGAGCACGGCAGGCCACCCCCCGCGACACGGCTGCAGAGCACTGACACGAAGCACAGGGAACTACTGGCGCCGACAAAACACAATCGACCTTTCCAGCCCCTTTGGGTGCTAGCGGTAGTACCCTGAACCACAGCTAGCACCAAGTGCGGGACAAAAGGATAAAGGAACCGGGAACGGCCCAGGGAAAGTGCAAGCCAAGGAGCGTGGAAGCAGCAGCGCCAGAAGCAGCCACGCAGTGCCACGGCAAGCAGCGCTGCCCATCTCCAGAGCACTCCCGCACCCGGGTAGCTGGCAATTCCTCCCCCCGCTGCAGCAGCCGCCCGTCCCCCTGCTGTCAGGAGCACTGGCTTCTAAGTCATTTTCCTTGGAATAGAAACGCGTATCCTGGAACTGGACTGTCTGGATAAGCTCCGAGGTGCGAGCTCCCAGACCACAAAGCAAGGGACCATTTAAGACCTTGCTGGCTCACCCTGGCCCGAGTGAAAGGCTCTGTCCCCAGGGCTGCCGCTGCACAGCGCAGCCAGCACCAGTACAGCTTCTGAGGATGCTAATGGCCAACACCCATAAGCAACCCTGCAGGTGACAACAACTCACTGTGCCCCGGACAGTGGCTTGTTTATAAAACTTTGTTTGTGAGGTGGCAAAAGACAGTTACTAGCCCCTGACGAAACCATTTCTGGAAGGATGGGAAGATGAAAATAGGGTAGGATTCTCTAACCTTTGGGATTAAATATCAATGTTAACAGTCGTGACTTTCAGCTGGCAGACAAACAGCTCTTTTCTCTTCTTCCTCCCTCCCACCCCCACCAGTCTCCGAAACTGAAACAAGCAAGTAAAAAAGTCTCTTGGTTACTAATGTCCTCACTTCAAGTTGCTGTAGCTGGTCAACCTAATCCCAAACTTGCATTTATCCAGCAATCC